CATCCGGGGGGGAGGGGGGGCGGGGTGTTTGGTGTGTTGGTTTTTCGGTGGAAGGCAGGCGGGCACCTCACAGGATGGTTCGCCCCGGGAGGACCTGTAAGTACCGCAGCCGAGCCCCCTCCGGGTGAGCTGGCTCTTGGAGGTCACGTGAGGGATGGTGTGGTTCCCGCAAAACCGCAGGTGCGTGCGTGAGTGGGGAGCTCTTGTCAGACCTGAGCTGTTGAGGCCGATTCAATGGACCTGCTGCTCTGAGATGTCAAATGTCCCCGTGTCATCTCCTTGCATGCATCATGCTGGAGATGATCTCAGGGGCTCACTGCAGTCCCCAGGGGACTGGCACTGACCTCTGAGAGCCAGCTTGCTAGAGGTGTGCTCACAGGCACGCGAGGGCCCTCTCCCCAAAGTCCTCTGCGTGCCGGGTGTTGGGAGGTGAGCCTCTGTAGGTAACACACAGCACAGCCCCCGCCTGGTGCAATATTTAGGACAGATTTTCCCCTGGGCCTGGCGAGTACAGGAGTCATTCTTCTGAGGAGAGAGGCTATGACACACTCTCAAGTGAGGGTCTTTGGCAAAAAGCCCAGTTGCAGTCATTTAAAAAATATAGAACCAATCAAGTCCCATAAATATACATGTAACAGCTGTGGGAGATGGGGCACGATTTCAAAGTTTAAATGAGACCACAGCGGTGCCTGGTGCGTGGCAGCTAAGGACCGGGCAGGCACAGGGGTTCCACGTGGCGTGGGCTGGGCGCCGTCTGGCCCTCAGAGACCTGTTACCAGCAGTGCCGGGCATGTTGCCGGACGGGACATCACATCCTGAAGATTCTCTCAGTGTTTCCAGATGTCTCTCTGATGGGAATGCAACCCACTAAGGGCTTGCACACTTTGGGAAAGACCTCAGGACCCCCACAGGTTTTGTAGATGCTGCCGAAGGGCGAGCCGGCCCCCGGGCCCGAACCCCCCGCCCGCCAGCTGCCTGGCGCCGGGCTGGCAGCGCAGGGGCTGAGGCAGGTGCAGACCTGGTCCGTTCCAGGAGAATCTCACATTACCTCTCCCGTTGCCCTCATTTCAGTTTTCCCAAGCGAACCAGCTGACGGTGTTAACTCCTCATTTACAAACATCATCTTTAATCTTTGTGATTAGTTTGTAAATATTTGACGGATATTCTTGGCTCTCTGGAAGGAGCCGGACAGCGCACCAGGCCCCGAGACACAGGGCTGGTGCATGAGACCAGTGTGGCCGCTGGCCCGTCGGAGAATGATGGGCAGATAAATGGCAAAAATGCAAAGGAACGCTCACACCAATAGTCCCTGAGCACTAGTTAGATGAGGGGCCTCCAGGGGACTGTCCTGGGGGGAATGGGGCAGAGAGCTTCAGACGCGGAGGCCGGCCTGAGAGGCTGGTGAAGAAGGGAGGCGAGCAGGTGAGGGGCAGAGGCCGGGGAGCCCTAGGTCGCTCCGGGCAGCATGGGGGAGCCTGGCGCCTCCGCGTGGGGCTGGCGCTCAGCTGATCAGCGGCAGATGGGAGAGGCATCCATGGCCTTACTGTGGGCACCGAGTGTGGGGTGAGCACAGGCCCAGGGTGACATTCACGTGGGCGGAGAAGAGAGGCCTGGGGAGACGCAGGTCTCGGGACCAGGCTGCAGGAACTGAGTTTGCACAGCCCGTGAGGAAAAGAATGATCCGGAAAGGAGCCTGGGGGAGCAGTTGGTGATGGGGGAACGAGAGTGGTGGTGCTGGAAGTGGGGTGACTCCAGGCAGGCAGAGGTCCCCTGGGCCCCAAACTGAGTAGGATAGAGACCAAGAGGTCCCACTGCTGTGTCCACGTGGAGTCACTGGAGTCGGGGAGGGAGGGGAGGTTGCGGTGGGTGCAGTGGGAGCCCAGGGTCTCCCCTCAGCGGTGAGACAGCTTTGAGCAGAGCCCAGAGTCTGAAAGAGCCATCCTGGGCGGGAAGCAAAGCCGGCGGGCGGCCCTGCCTGCCTCAGGCGTGTGCGGCCTGGGGTCCCACCGCGGTGCGCAGGCGCCTGGCCGTGTGGCTTTCCCGGGACATTCGCTGCCTGGTGATGTGTGGGGAGGAGACGGGCAGGACGAAGGCTTCGTTGGGAGCGTCTGACGAGGGAAGGGCCAGGGAGCTGAGGCAAGTCCTAAAGATGGAGAGAGGGGAGGGAGGTCGGCAAAGGGCCCAGTAATCGGTGTGTTTTTTCTCTGCCTGAAAAATCGAGGCGTGGAGTCAAGAACTAGAGGGAAGCAGGGGTGACGCTCTCTCAGCGTTTGCGCTTGGCCGTGGCTGCTCCGGAGGCCAAGAGCCGGACAGGAAGGGCCCCTGACCGCCCCCCACTGCTCGGTCACCCCGAGCCAGGGCCTCCCTCTGCCAGGAAGCGCGAGCCTTAGGTTTATGGCAGGAGAGAGCGTCCTGACGTTTTCAGTGACAAACAACATGCTAACGAGCCAGGTGGCGGCTGAAACTAAATGTTTCTGGGCAACGATTTTGTAAAAAGTGCCAAGGGGGTGGGGGACAGACGGGGAGCCCGATCCGCCACCCCGTAGGCGAGGACAGGGCTGTCGCTGCTCCGTGTGGGCTGACAGGCTCCCCCGACGACGCGTCAGCCGGAGCGTAGGGGGACGTTCCTGGAAGGGAATGAGCTGCGTCGGCCGGCGGCTGGGTGCGGTTGGTAAGACTGTCCCCTCACCTCCTCCTGTTGCTACCTGCAGTCGTAGAAGTCAACAAGCGGGACATCGCCTTCCTGGTGGACGGCTCGTCGGCGCTGGACCTGTCCCACTTCAACGCCATCCGCGACTTCATCATCAAGGTCATCCAGCGGCTGGAGATCGGCCAGGACCTCATCCAGGTGGCCGTGGCTCAGTACGCAGACACCGTGCGGCCCGAGCTTTACTTCAGCAGCTACCACAGCAAGAAGGAGGTCATCACGGCCTTGCGGAAGATGAAGCCGGCCGGGGGCTCGGCCCTGAACACGGGCTCCGCTCTGGACTTCATGCGCACCAACCTGTTCACAAGCGCGGCCGGCCACCGGGCCGCGGAGGGCGTCCCCAGGCTCCTGGTGCTGTTCACGGGCGGTAAGTCCCAGGATGACGTCAGCCAGCCGGCCCAGGAGCTCCGGAGGAGCAACATCATGTGTTTCGCCATCGGGAGCAGGGCCGCCGACCAGGCCGAGCTGGCGGACATGGCCTTCGACACATCCCTGGTGTTCACCCCGGCCGAGTTCCAGGCCGCCCCCCTGCAGGGCATGCTGCCCAGCTTGCTGGAGCCCCTCAGGACCCTCTCCGGAGCCACCGAAGGTACGGGGCCGGGGGCGGGTGGGGGGCGGTGGGTCAGACACACCACAGGGTGGCCTCTGGGCAGGGCCTTTGAGAAACAAAGCAAAAGGCAGTTTTACTTGAGGTCAGTTAGGAGGCAGCTCTTTGTGTGTGTGTATGTTTTGCTAATCCTGACCCAAGGATATTTTTTCCATTGCTTTTCAGAGAGAGTGGAAGGGAGAGAGAGAGAGAAACATCGATGTGAGAGAGACATATCGATTGGTTGCCTCCTGCACGTGCCCTGACCAGGGCTGGGGACCGAACTTGCACCCAAGTACGTGCCCTTGACTGGGAACAGAACCCGCGGCCCTTTGGCGTGTGGGCTGATGCTCTAACCACGGAGATCACCAGCCAGGGCTAGGAGACAGCTCTTACATGGTGGGAGCAAAAAACGAGATTCAGTTCAGGTTTCCGTTCACAGGATTTAGATGTCCTGTGACACAACTGCATGTCTTAAGATGTCACACAAGGATTGTATGCCTTCCACGGTCATAAAGTAAGAGCCGTATGAGTTGGATTATAAGATCAGGGCCACCTGTCTTTGAAGCTTCCAGCTGAGGGGGTCACTTCTCAGTTCCTGTCCCCTGGGGGGCCCCAGTGTTCTGTTCCTCCTGGTGGCACCTGTCCAGCCTCTCCCTCCCGCCACCACGGTGCAGCCTGGATCTTCCTATCCTGAGCTGACTGTCCGCTTCTGAGTGATCTGGACCTGACCCTCCCTCATCTCTCCTCAAGGGATTTCCTTCAATGCAAAGCCTAGTGAATGGGTGGGTGTGAGGAGAAACACCCAGTGGTTGTTCAAATCCCTGGTTTAATGTGATTATCAGTGGAAAGTTATTCTAGCCGGCTAGGAGCTTATGAACGGAATGAGTATAATTTGCCGAACTTAATGAAGATGAACATCATGGGGACCAGCTTTTCCACCTCACAAGCTTTACCACCGAGAGTGTCCGGTGCATGGCCCATGTTGCATGACCCATGTTGCATGACCCATGCTATGCGTGACCCATGCCACATGACCCATGCTGCGTGTGACCCATGTCATAGGACCTATGTTGCAGGATCCATGTTGCATGGCCCATGTTGCATGACCCATGCTGTGTGTGACCCATGTTGTATGTGGCCCATGCCACATGACCCATGCTGTGTGTGACCCATGTCACATGACCTATGTTGCACGACCCATGTTGCATGACCCATGTGACATGGGTGCATCCTTTCTCCTCAGGCTCTCTGTTCTTCTAAGGGCCTCTGTCTGTCTCTCGCCCTCTATTTTCTTAAAAATTCTAATCCACGCTTTCACAGCCAAAGTACAATTTGATAGAACATAGGGTGCAATTAGTTGCTAGTTTTAAATTTTAGTGAGACACCAGGGAAGAGATGGGAAGTAATTTATTCTGAGGGCATATGCTGAATGTGCTGGAAAACACTCTCACTGGAGAGTGACGCTTGTGATTCTTCACGTGAACAGCCTCAGCCAAGCATAGCAAGTAGACTCTCCATATTTTAACATGTTTCCGGGAGCCTGGGGTCTCACCTGGAGGAGTTCCCAGGGGCGTCCTGCTGGATTAACATCTGGTAGCCCTGTTAGGAAACGAGGGCTATGGGATGAGATATGGGTGCTCCTAGGAGCCCCTCACGAGAGCAGGCTCATATTGAGATTTAGTCATAAGGGATCCTGTTCCCGGGGGTAACGCTCCAATCTATCTGTGAGGAAATCTCTGGATGGGTAGAGGTGGCCCCAGAGGACTCAGTGTCATGCAGGGGAACCTGGCTGTGGCCGTGGTCGTAGACGCGAGGGAGGCAGAATCCCACGGCGCCTCGCAGAGCTCATTCCCGGGAGGGGATCCCGGCTCAAGGGTCCTGGTCACTGTTGCTGGGTGGAAACACTGCCTCTGGCGCTGTGTCTCTCTGTGGTCCCCTCGGTCTCACACACTTGGCTGTGGATGTGCCCCACAAACAACAGGGACCAAGGAGGAACACGCGTGGCTTCCGCCATGTTTCACGAGACGTCAGTGCTTCGCCTCACCGATGTCCTGTGTCCTGTGTGCTGACATGTGTGCACCCGTGGCGGGCACACATGAGTGTGTGTGTCTCACTGTTTTCTGTGCTCCACCGCAGTTCACGTAAACCAAAGGGATCTCATATTTCTTTTGGACGGATCGCTCAACGTGGGAAAGAGCAACTTCCCCTATGTGCGGGACTTTGTAATGAGCGTAATTAACAGCCTTGACGTCGGGAGCGACGGCATCCGTGTGGGTTTAGTGCAGTTTAGTGACACTCCGGTCACCGAGTTCTCCCTAAACACGTACCAGACAAAGTCAGACTTGCTCGCCCACCTGCGGCAGCTGCAGCCGCAGGGGGGGTCGGGCCTGAACGTGGGCTCCGCGCTGCGCTATGTCCACGCCAACCTCTTCACCGAAGCTGGCGGCAGCAGGATCCGAGACCGCGTCCCGCAGCTGCTGCTCCTGCTCACGGCCGGCCGGTCCGAGGACTCCTATTTGCAAGCGGCCAATGCGCTGGCCCGCGAGGGCATCCTGACCTTTTGCGTGGGAGCTAACCAGGCCGACAAGGCCGAGCTCGAGCAGATTGCTTTTAACCCGAGCCTGGTGTATCTCATGGACGAGTTCAGCTCCCTGCCAGCGTTGCCGCAGCAGCTCATTCAGCCCCTCACCACATATGTTAGTGGAGGCGTCGAGGAAATTCCCCTCACCCAGCCAGGTAATGCCCCCGCGAGGGGCTCCCTCCCCGCCCCCGCCCGGCGGGCAGGTGGACCAACCCCAACTCCAGAGCGTGGTGAACCGCAGAGAGTCCGCTGGCCCCCTTTGGTTGAGGCGTTTCGAACGGGGGTCTGAGACGCTGTACCAGCAAGTGTACGTCTTCTGTCTGAAGGGTGCTCGTGAATGAGAGCACGTCCAGCGAATTCAGTTCATGTTCCTTGCATCTTACCCCACCCTTTCCTTAGAGGCTATTTCCTCACTCCCCCAATGCCTGTGAAGATTTTGGGGTGCAAGTCCAGGTGGAAGTGAGAGGGTGCAGATAGATAGAGGTGGGTTCCCCGTGACTCATGGGGATACCTTGGGATCACTCAGAAATCACAGTTCTTTTCACGACACCTTTTATGCACAAAATCTGCTGTATCTAGACAATTACGTGTTGCAAACTCAACAAAGGCCGTCGTGTTGACGCGATGTCCAGAGGCGGCCTGGATTGATGTGCTTATTGCAAATTAATTCGGTGCTGAGGTTCGGGTGCACTGGGTCCTCCGGCTGCTGACGCCGCACGGACCGGCGGCAAGGCTGAGAACCGAAACCCCGTCAAACGAGTTCTAAGACGCGCGTGAACGGAGGACCATGTTCCCGTTCCCGGCGGCAGCCCCGCGTGGGCGCTCGCCTTTCCTTATTGTCTAAATACAGCGGATGGGAAAGCAGAGACGGGGGGCCCGACCCACCGAGCAGCGATGGACACGACCGTGGGTCCTGATCCACAGCCTCCAACTCAATATATGTGTCGGCTCAGTTATCCTCGGGCGGGGAGCCCGTGTCAGCCTCTGTCGCTAGATGTAGGTCAGTTTTTCTGTTTTCAATCTTCACATGAGGCTATTTTTCCCATTGCTTTTCAGAGAGAGTGGAAGGGGGAGAGAGAGAGAGAGAGAGAGAAACATCAACGTGAGAGAGACCCATCGATGGGTTGCCTCCCCCATGTTCCCTGACGGGGGCTGGGGGTCGAGCCTCAGCCGAGGTATGGGCCCTTGACTGGAATTGAACCTGGGACCCTTTAGTCCATAGGCCGGCGCTCTAACCACTGAGCCAAACTGGCCAGGGCCACGTAGGCCCGTTTTCAAGCAAGATGACAGCAAAGACCACGTGTTCAGTGGTTCAGTTTATGGTTTGAGAATAAACACTGTCTCTTCCACTAGAGCGGCTCCCGCCCGATGGGAGAGCAGAACCCCCTGGGCCTTTCCTGTCTCCCCCGTTGAGACGCGTGCTGTCCGAGGGGGGCCCGTCTTGTCCGGTCCTCTGCACGTGTGCACTGCTTTGAAACGGGCCTTTCACCGATAGCGGTGAGGGCTCTGCCCGCCTTGCTGGCACAGTGGCCGTCCCACGAACGGCGGGAACTCCCGCTGCCCGGTGCTGTTGGCTGCCGGGCTGCCGTCAGCTTGGTGCCTGTCATGTTCCTGAGCCTCATGGTGTCCTCGGCTCCTTCTTCTTGCAGAAAGCAAGCGGGACATCCTGTTTCTCTTCGACGGCTCAGCCAACGTCGTGGGCCAGTTCAACGCCGTCCGAGATTTTCTCTACAAGGTGATCGACGAGCTCGACGTGAAGCCGGATGGGACCCGTGTGGCGGTGGCCCAGTACAGCGACAACGTCAGGGTCGAGTCCCATTTTAACCAGCATCAGAACAAGCCCGAGATCCTGAATCTGGTGAAAAGAATGAAGCTCAAGACGGGCAAGACCCTCAACCTGGGGTACGCCCTGGACAGCGTCCTCAGATCCGTTTTCGTGAGGTCCGCCGGGAGCCGGATCGAGGACGGGGTGCCCCAGTTCCTGGTGCTGCTGGTGGCGGGGCGGTCGTCGGACCGCGTGAAAGAGCCAGCGGACCTGCTGAAGCAGAGTGGGGTGGTGCCTTTCGCGCTCCAGGCCAAGAACGCAGTCCCTGCCCAGGTGGAGATGGTCGTGCCGTCCCCCGCCTTTATTCTGGTCGCCGAGTCGCTTCCCAAGATCGGAGAGCTTCAGCCGCAGATCGTGAATCTCTTAAAGACGGTGCAAACCGGGGCCCCGACGCCAGGTAAGAGCCGCACAGGCTCTCGGGGCCTCTGCAGCTCAGCTTGCGGGCGGGTGGAGGGCGGCCGGCCCCCGGTCCCCAGGTGGAAGCCCTCCTTGGGTTTCCGGGGAGGGCGGGACATTAACGGTGGTTTTGCGGGAACAATGAAATAGGACTTTTCTTTCCCTACTTGGACTCTCTCACCGCTCCTTAGGGCAAAACAGGGCACTCGGTGATTCTTTCCAAGGGCATTAGAGTATTTCACAGTGAGGTACCTGATAAGGGTTAGATGTGTCAGTGGGTCACAGCCTTTCAAGAAACATGACTTTTACTACACACGTAATAAGGGCCACAGGACACGGTCACATTGCAGCTAAGCCCGTCTCCACCTTCCTATCCCCCCGTCTACTCTCAGCGGTCGTCGCCGTGTCAGAATCCTTCCCCTTAGGGACACAGACACGGTGAAAGAGGCACATTCCCCCCAAAACGCCGCATGGACATGTTTCATCCTCAGTTCATGCCTCTGTCTGTAACCACTTCCCTCTGGCGGATACAAACGCGGCGAGAAGAGCAGTTAATTTCGCGTGTAGCCCTTCTGCTTAAACATGGGGGGCCTGGAGTTTCTACGCCGCCTCTCGGGCCCGCCCTCGGTCGGTTTGGACTGTAACCCGGACATCTGGGACACAGCCCTTCCCCATCCATCCGCTGTGACCTGTGCAATTTATTTCAAGCCGCCCGCGTGTGAAGTGGTAACGGCTTTGCAGGCTCGGCCGTGCAGATCTCTCTGGCCCCCAGCGTTTTTCTCAAGCACACCTTTGAAAGCTAAGTGCTCGCACCTTGGACAGTTCTAACACGAAAGGGTCATCAGTACAAACTGGTGAGTTTGTTTCCTGCGGCTGCTATAACGAATGACCACACACGGAGTGGCTTAAAAAAAAAAAAAAAAGAATTTGCTATCTTGCAGGTTTAGTGAGGTCAGAAATGCAAAACCGGTTCCACTGGGCTACAATCTAGGTGTAAGTCAGATGGCGCTCCCCCCGGGGGCTCCGAGGGCCACCCACTTCCTGGCCTTCTCCGGCTCCCAGAGGCCGCCTGCTCTCCCTGCCCGTGGCCCCTCTCTCCAGCCTCGAGGCCAGCGGCATAGCATCTCCTCCCTCCCTGACCTGTCTCCATCGTCATTTCTTCTTCCTCTAAACCTGATCCTTTTTTCTCCCTCTCTTAAGGACGTCCCCAAAGTCGAGTTCTGGGGATTCTGAACCGAACGTGTTTGTGGGGCCACCTCCGTTGGTAGGAAATTGTCCCCCTCATGTCCTGTCTTCCTCCCAGCCTCAGGTGAAAAAGACGTGGTGTTTCTGCTCGACGGCTCCGACGGGGTCCGGAGCGGCTTCTCTCTGCTCAAGGATTTTGTCCAGAGAGTGGTGGAGAGCCTGGACGTGGGCCCGGACCGCGTCCGCGTGGCCGTGGTGCAGTACAGTGACCGGACCAGGCCCGAGTTCTACCTGAATTCATACATGGACCAGCAGACCGTGGTCAGCGCCGTCCGCAGCCTGGCCCTGCTGGGGGGGCCCACCCCCAACACCGGGGCCGCCCTGGACTTTGTCCTGAAGAATATGCTGACGAGCTCGGCCGGGAGCAGGGTAGAAAAAGGCGTCCCCCAGCTCCTAGTCGTCCTCACGGCTGACAGGTCCGGGGACGACGTGAGGGGCCCCTCAGTGGTCCTGAAGAGAGGCGGGGCCGTGCCCATCGGCATTGGCATTGGGAACGCCGACATGACAGAAATGCAGACCATCTCCTACATCCCAGACTTTGCCGTGACTGTTCCCACCTTCGGGCAGCTGGGGGACGTCCAACAGGACATCTCCCGGAGGGTGATCCAGCTCAGCAGCCAAGAGCTGAGCAGGCTGCAGCCGGTGTTTCCTACTCTGTTGAGGCCAGGTAAGGAGGGGACTCCTTGGATCCTCGCTCCCTGAAACATCTGGGACGACTTTTTTGTTGTTAATCCCCACCTGAGGGTGTTTTTCCCACTGATTCTTTTTTTAGAGGGAGTGGAAGGGAGGGAGGGGGGGG